ATCCATTTCTAGAAATCTATACCTTGCCACGTGGCTTGTAGCTTACCGGTGTCTTCACATGCTGCTTGTCATGGATGCAGCTTGCAGTTTCTCCTTCTGCCTTCCTGTTCTTTCAATTCTCCTCTCTGTTAGTCCTGCCTATACTTCCTGCCTAGCCACTGGCCAATCAGTGTTTTATTTATTGACCAATCAGAGCAACAGATTTGACATACAGACCATCCCACAGCAACACACATAGATTTTAAAAATACTGATTGTAAAGGTAGGAGAGAATAAATTAATTTAAGCAAGAGGACACATGAGCCAGGTGATGGTAGCCCATGCCTCTAATCCCAGCACTCGGGAGGCAGAGACAGGCAGATCTCTGTGTGTTCGAGGCCAGCCTGGTCTACAGAGTGAGTTCCAGGACGGCCAGGACTACACAGAAAAACACTGTCTTGAAAAACAAACAAAAAATAAAAAGAGGACACATGAATGGACAATTGTCATTTGACAGACATAGCCATCCAAAGCAATGAAGAAAAAGACGCTGCATTTGTCTTAGTGTTAACGTTTCCTGAAAATCCCTCTTGCCTTCTAAAAGACTTAACTTTTGCCAGACCTTGCAGCCAAGTTGATGATATGCCTTGAGATCCTGTAAAACCATGTGCTCAAGCCGGGCAGTGGTGGTGCACACCTTTAATCCCAGCACTCGGGAGGCAGAGGCAGGCAGATCTCTGTGAGTTCAAGGCCAGCCTGGTCTCCAAAGTGAGTTCCAGGAAAGGCGCAAAGCTACACAGAGAAACCCTGTCTCAAGGAAAAAAAAAAAAAAAAAAAAGACTATGCAGTCAGTATGCTGTCCTACTGTGTACATTGACTGTTTAAGTTTAACCTGCCATTAAGATAACAAACAGTGTAGCCACAAGTCCCAGAACTCCTGAGACAAAGACAGATGGAATTCTGAGTTCCAGGCCTGGTCTACAGAGCTAGTTCCAAGACAGCCTGGGCTACACAGAGAAACCCTGCATTGAAAAACTAAGCAAGCAAGCAAATAAACAATCTGTAATTCCAGTTCCGGGGCATTGAACTCCCACTTCTGACTTTTGTGGGCACTAGGCACAACACACAGTACATATACATACATGCAGGCAAAACACTCATATACAGAAAATAAGAGAATAAACAAGTCATTTTTAAAAAGATATCCCCAAAGGTACAACAGTGGCACTTATATCTGGGGGGGTAACCAATAGCCCCCTGATTAGAATTAAGGCCCAATTATGGTACCATAAGTCTACCTGTGGCTGTTGAGGCCTAGATAACTTAGTACCATCACTTTCCCAAACCAGTACAATTTCTAACAACATTTTTTTTAAAGATTCATTTATTTATTATGTATACAGTGTTCTGCCTGCACGTATGCTTGCATGCCAGAAGAGGGCACCAGACCTCATTACAGATAGTTGTGAGCTACCATGTGGTTGCTGGGAATTGAGCTCAGGTCTTAACCACTGAGCCATCTTCCCAGCACCCTCTAACAGCATTCTTTTTTTTTTGTTGTTGTTGTTTTTTTTTCCAGAGCTGAGGACCAAACCCAGGGCCTTGCGCTTGCTAGGCAAGCATTCTACCACTGAGCTAAATCCCCAACCCCCAGCATTTTTAATACAATACTTATCCTTCTACCCACAGATAAGTGTGCTCTCATCCTTCATCCAGGAAGGTTTTGTTTTTTGTTTTTGTTTTTGTTTTTCAGCAAACAGAGAAAATTACGACTGGTCAAAATGCAGAGAACTACTGACCATAGCATCCCAAATGCCAATTGATACATCTATATCATGAAACAATCTAAGACTCAGTGAACATCACAAAAAAAAAGAGAAAAATTTAGAAGAGCCAGAAGACCAGGATGTCTGTGAGGTTTTGGTAGTTTGAATGAAAATGACTCACATAGACTCATAGGGAATATCATTATTGGAGATGTGACCTTGTTGGAGTAGGTGTGGCCTTGTTGGAGGAAGTGTGTCATTGGGAGTGGACTTTGAGGTTTCAGACCCTCAAGCCAGGCCCAGTGTCTCTCTCTCTTTCTGCTGCCTATGAATCAAGATGTAGAACTCTCAGCTACCTCTCCAGCACCATGTCTGCCTGCACGCCACCATGCTTCCCACCGTGACGATAATGAACTAAACCTCTGAACTGTCAGTCAGCCCCAATTAAAAGTTTTTCTTCATAAGAGTTGCCATGGTCATGGTGTCACTTCACAATAATAGAAACCCTAAAACAGAGATTGTGTCTTCTGTGAACGACAGGGAAACTGCACCCGTAAAATCTCAACAATATGGCGGCCTAAACAAGACCTGAACAATGACCACACCAGTTGGCATGCCGACATGGATAGGGGAAATCTCAAAATGACCTACCATTACATGAAGAGCTACCGGCAATTAATGACTGCTGAGAAAGGGAGAGTCAGTCCTCCCCAGAGATAGTTCTCCTAATTGGTTATCCAATACCAAGTGGTCAGCCCTAAAAACATAAACATACAAGCAAGACTAACTGTTTTTATACAAATATATAGCCATATATTTGTCTATATTGGAATGCGTACACATACATATGGGAGAGAGAAAGGGGGCCAATAATAATGAGCATGGGCCAGGTGGTAGTGACACATGCCTTAAATCTCAGCACTCAGGAGGCAGAAACAGGTCAATTTCTAAGTTCAAGGCCAGCCTGGTCTACAGAGCTAGTTGTAATGCCACCAAAGCCACAAAGAGAAACCCTGTCTCAGAGAGAGAGAGAGAGAGAGAGAGAGAGAGAGAGAGAGAGAGAGAGAGAGAGAGAAAATGAGGCCATGAATTTTGAGCTGAGGCAGACAAGGAGGAAAGTTTTCACTGGTTGGTTTTTTTGTTAACTTGCCACAAGCTAGAATCATCTAGGAGGAAGGACACGAAATTGAGAAAATGTTTCCATCATCTTGGCCTGCAGACAAGTCTGTGGGATGTTTTCTTGATTATTGATTGATGTGGAAGGGGCCCAGTCCAGTATAAGCAAAGCCACCTCTAGACAAGTAGTCCTGGGAGGTGTAAGAAAGCAGGCAAGCCATGAAGTATCACCCTCTGTGGTCCCACTTCAGTCCCTGCCTAAAGGTTCCTGCCTATAGTTCCTGCCCTGACTTCTTTCAGTAATGGACTGTAATGTAGAAGGGAAGTGTAAGCCAAATAAACCCTTTCCTCCCCAAGTTGCTTTTTTTTTTTTTTTCCCCCTTTGGTTTTTTTTCGAGACAGAGTTTCTCTGTGTAGCTTTGCACCTGTCCTGGAACTCGCTTTGGAGACCAGGCTGGCCTCAAACTCACAAAGATCCGCCTGCCTCTGCCTCCCGAGTGCTGGGATTAAAGGCGTGCGCCACCACCGCCCAGCCCCCAAGTTGCTTTTATCTTCATATTGTATCACAGCGATAAACAGCAAACTAAGACAGAGTTGGAAGGAGGGAATGAAGAAAATTTATGTAAATACAGTACTCATATATGAAATTCTAAAAGTAAATACTTTTTAAAAAGAATTTCTCCTTTTTTCATAGTTTTCTACATCTATAAATTAGTATTGAAGCTGGCAAATGTTTTAGAGTTTCTATTGCTGTGCTGAAAAACCATGACCAAAAAGCAAATTAAGGAGGAAAGGGTTTATTCAACTTACACTTCCACATAGCTGTTCATCATTAAAGTCAGTCAGCAAAAAAACAAAAAAAATAAATAAATAAATAAAGTCAGTCAGGACAGGAACTCAAATAGAGCAGAATCTTGGAGGCAGGAACTGATGCAAAGCAACTGCTTCCTGGCTTGCTTCCCCTGGCTTGCTCAGCCTGCTTTCTTATAGAACCCAGGACCACCAGCCCAGCGATGGCACCACCCACAGTGGGCTGAGCCCTCCCCCATTGTTCACTAATTGAGAAAATGCCTTACAGCTGGATCTCATGGAAGATTTCCTCAACTGAGGCTCCTTCCTCTCTGGTGACTCTAGCTTGTGTCAAGTTGACACACAAAACCAGCCAGTACAGGAAGATAAGACTTTCAGGTTAATTTGAACATCAAAAATAAATAAATAAAAATTATCAAGAAAACATATCTTGGATTCCTAGAAAGTGGGAATTTGTACCATAAAAAAACAGCATTGGCTCCAACAAAGTTCAGTACTTTGGCAACTATTAACAGTGTGTCCAACCTTCTGGGACTTACCACTGTCATTTACAAAGGTCATGTTCAAAAATAGTGCAGTTGGGCCATTCTGGTTAAGATGCTTACCGGCCAAGGCTGACAACCTAGGTTCAATCACCAGGACCCACACAGAAGAAAGAAGTGTCTCCTGCAAGTTTCCCTTCAACCACCACACACGGTGGCTGGGGTACATACACACACACACACACACACACACACACACACACACACACACGAAAACAAATGAACAAGAACTGTATAATTGAATTACAAAAAAAATTGCAAAAATAGTCTCATGTTTGGGGATTATGATTTTTTGTGTTGGGCTACATACACAGCTTTCTGGGGGCACATGTGGGCTACAGGTTGGGCGTGCATGAACACGGGTTTACCTGAAGACCCTTTGGGGAGAAGATTGCACGCACTAGGAAAGCACTCTGAAGTCCTTTGGGTAAGTGAAACCTAACTACAAAGAATACTGTAATTCCATAGAATTTTGCTGACATTTTCTTTCAGAAATAATGGCGTCCATCATTGTGCCTCTTTCAGCTAAAAACTTTATTTCCTGATCTGAGAGTCTACTTATCTATAAAATCTATAAAATCAATCTTATGATCTACTTTTCTAGTTCTTTATAACCAAATACATTATTGTTTTTTTTTTTAAATGGTGTGTGCACGCGCGCGCGTGTGTAGGTTTGTACACGTGAACAAAATGAACACAGGCGGCTGAGGCCAGCAGAGGGTGTTGGGTTCCCTGGAGTTGGAATTACAGGCGGTTGGTTGTGAGCTGCACACATGGATCTAGAAACTGTCCTCCAGAGAGAACATGAAATATCCAGCGAACAATTCTTTTCTTCTCCATCTCACGATTTTTCGGCCTCAGCCTCCCTAGTGATGAGATTATTTGCTTGTACTACACTGCTCACTTGGAGTGGTAACAGCTTCAGATTTTAAGGTTGAAGACGATATTATACTGGTTATTTCCTCTCCAGCAGCATTTTAATGAGTAAAAAATACCTTGGGAATATTACGAAATTACTCGTATGTATCTGCAACGAAAAGAGCGGAAAAACAACTGACACCTCGGAAAAACAAATTGCTGGACCACAAGAGTGGCCCACCGTTGCCGGAAGTGGGCTGGGAAGTAGCGCTTCGCCGCCCGCAGCCTGCTGGGACTTGTAGTTCGAGTCCTCGATGATGCCCTGGAGTCCTGCGATCCCAGGTGTGGGTCCTACCTACGCAAGAGGTGAGCAGGGCTGGGCTGCCTCAGGGGCAGACAGTGGTGTCCTGGTCCAGACGAGGGGGCGCCGCGACCTGGAGCCAGGCTCAGAGGCTGGGAACGCGCGCCCTGTGGCCGCGGCCCCACGTGCTAGCAGCCGCGGTACCCCGCCCGAATCACGCCCCGGGACATGGCTACCCCACGGAGGCCAGGCCCCCGCCACAGAGCAAACTGCGGCTCCGAGGACGTTCTCCTCCTGCTCGGCCGAGCGCTGGCCTGGGCGGGACTGAGGACTTTGCAGTTGGCCTTCTTCGCTCCAGTCGAGTGACTTGGCCTTTTTCCAAAGATGGTGTTGGTGGACATCAGGAGACCACGAGGGACTCCTGAGAGATCCCGGGGTACTGATGTTTTAGCTGCACAGCACTGCCACCTGCATCCTAGAAACCAGTTAGATTTCTGAGAATAAGGTCGGGGAAGAGGTATTCGGTAGCTGGAACACACGTTAAGAGAAGTTACAGAGAACCTGAGGAAACCTGCTCCAGAACCTAAGTACAGAATTAGGGAGGTTTGAGGAGATGGCACACCCTAGAGAACTACCTTTTGAAGAATCTGCCTGCCCCTGCCTGAGAAGCAAGCTCTGGGTGATTTGGAATTTCACCAAAAATGCCTCGTCTCTGAACTAAACCCAGGTTTTCTTTCTTAGAACAAAATAGAACATCAGCATTGAATACCTGCCTAGAGTCAGATCATATACCATGTGGTTTGTCTCTTTATTGCCAAGTTCATTGTGAAATTAGATATTTAATACAAAGGGGAACAAGGGCCTTGGGGCATTAAAATATATATCTAGCAAATCGTGTCATTGGGTTCTGCGTGGATGTCTGCTGACTGTGAAGTTCTGCATTAGTTCTCACTACACTGCCTTGCCACCGTGTGGAGCACTACTCAAGCATCCATCCAGGTTCTTCTACTGAAAGACTCTTTGGAGCATGTTTGCCCTGTAGTCTGGAAGTTAGCTTTTTCTTATCAGACATTCCATTCACATGTGTTGCATCCTCGTAGCTAAGACCAAAATATCTTGGGTACTGAGTTTGTAAGGAGCAAATATTTACTTCTCACGGTTCTGTTGTTTTATTCTATCAGCACTTGACCCAGTTTCAGACCTAGGAAACAGGAGTGTTCACCTCCTGTGGGGTAGGACCTGGATCCCAATATCATCTTTAAGAGCACTCCCCCAGTGACCTAAATTCTCCCTACTAGGTCCTACCTCCTGAAGACTTCACCTCCTCCCCCTAGTGCCAGAGGTTGGTAATCAAGCCTTTCAAAAACCAAGGCCAAAACTGTAGCTTGTTGGAGAGAAAAGTGAATATATGTCAAGCTTGATGCTAAGTGGCCTTGGGAAAACAAGATTATAAACTGAAAATTTTTGCCAGGCAGTGGTGGCACACGCCTGTAATCCCAGCATGCGGGAGGCAGAGGCAGGCAGATCTTTATGAGTTTGAGGCCAGCCTGGTCTACTGAGCGAGTTCTGGGACAGCCAAAGCTGCACTGAGAAACATTGTCTCAAAAAAACAAAAATAAAAAAAACGCTTAAGTTTTTCTTCAAAGAAAAACTTGTTGAGTAGATTATGTGTATTTAAAAAAATATGCATTTGATGGTTAATCTTGACAGCTTGATTGAACTGAGATTTTAGGAATGAGTAAAGCACACTTCTTGAGGGGATTATGAGATCCTGAGGGCTCTAACCTCATGAATGTTTCACTGGTGGATCTTTTAAACTATTGGAAGGTGGTAGAACTGGGGAAGCTGGGGCCTGATTGGAGGAACTGGGTAACTGAGTTGAGGCGTGACCTTGGGAGCCATATCTTGCCTTGGCTCTTTCCTCGTGTTCTATGTTGTGCCTACCATGAGTTGAAGAGCATGCTTCCCACAGTCTCCCACCATGATGGGGTGAAACCTCTACCACCGTGATTCAAAACAGATCCTTTCTCCGTTAGTTGCTCATTCTGGTATTTAGATTACAGTGATAAGAAAGGGATTGACCCCTTGCGTATTAACAGTGATCGCTGTTAACTGTGATGGTGACGGTCATGAGGATCTTAATTGAACAACAGCGCAGTGGTCACAGAATCATGCCTAAAAAGGTACATCAAAATCATGTGGTGGTTTTTCAAACTTAAGATTCCTAGCCCTGCCGGAAGGAAAGAGAACAGCATTCCTTTCTCATCCTCCTAATCTCTGTGCACCCAGCATTTTATTTTGAAATACCTCTACATACACTTAATGCCAAGTGTTTCCAGTGGGAGGTAAGATGAGTTGCTTAACTAGATCTTTTTTTTTTAGGGGGGGGGGGTTTCAAGATAGGATTTCTTTGTGTAGCTTTGGTGCCTTTCCTGGAACTCACTCTGTAACCCAGGCTGGCCTCGAACTCACAGAAATCCGCCTGCCTCTGCCTCTGTCATGCTGGGATTAAAAGCGTGCCCCACTACCACCCGGCCTAACTAGATCTTTTATGCTCTATTTTCACTGTTCCCTTTCACCAATATGTCTGCATATTTAATTACAATAAAATTGCCAAACAGTTGCCAGGTGTGGTGGGTGGCACATTCCTTTAATCCCAGCACTTGGGAAGCTTAGGCAGGGCTAAGGATCTTCATGAATTCCAGGCCAGGCAGGGCTATGTAGTGATACCCTATCTTGAGTGAATGGAAGAAAGATTGCCAAATAGCAATAACATTTTTTCCCCTCGTTGTCTTGGACTGGGGAGATGGCTGGGTTAGTAAGGCACCTGCTGTGCAAGTGTGAACTCTTATGTTTGAGCCTCCAGAGCCCATGGGGATAGGCAGACACAGCAGTGTGCACACCTGGAATCCTAGTGCAGGACAGGCAAAGACAGTATCCCTGGTGATTGCTGGCCAACCAGTCTACCAGCAATGTCCAGTGTCTGTGAAGACTCTTTGTCAAAAAAAAAAAAAAAAAAATATATATATATATATATGGCAGCTTCCACTCACAGACATGCCCACAAACACACATATGTACACAGAAATAACAGCTTCTCACCATCTCCATAAAACTACACGTAGAAAGTTACCTCAGGCTTGAGGCTTACCACCATAGAGTGCTTGAGTGGACGGAACCCCTTCTTTGCTCTGATGCTAACGTTTTATGACACTGAGAAACTGTGACTTTGAGCTGAAGGGAAGGGCCTTGTGTCCTTTGTTGCAGAGAGCAGCAGATCCAGGCCATTCCTCATAAGTAAGTAGGCCATCCAGGAGCGGCAGCAAATGTCTATCATCCCAGCATTGAGATGGCAGGATACTCACAAGTCCAAGGCCAGTCTGGGCTATATAATAAGACTCTGCCAGGCGGTGGTGGCGGCGGCGGCGGTGGTGGCGGCGGCGGCGGCGGCGGCGGCGGCGGCGGCGGCGGCGGCGGCGGCGGCGGCGGCGCACGCCTTTAATCTCAGCACTAGGGAGACAGGGGTAGGCGGATCTCTGTGAGTCGAGGCCAGCCTGGTCTCCAAAGCGAGTTCCAGGAAAGGTGCAAAGCTACACAGAGAAACCCTGTCTTGAAAAACCAAAAAAAAAAAAAGACTGTATACATTTCTTTTTAATTTAAGGGCTCTACTTTCCCAGTGCTTTTCTATGTACCAGAGTTTGTCCTTGATGTCTGCTGAAAGGCTTTCAGTTTAACCTTCAATTTTGCAGTGTGACCTCCTCCTTCTCTGTGACCGTGGGAAAGTAATTTCCTCATGGACTTTGCTTTCCTTATCTGTAAAATGAGGCATTGGCTGTGATGATTCTTAGGTTCTCTTTTAGTTGTATCATCTCCTTATTATTTAAACTGAGCATTTGTCAACTAGATTCCAAGTCAGTTGTGCTAGTTACTGGGCACTTACAGCTTAGTTGAGCATGACACTGTCATTTGGAACTGTATAGCCATTCATAATAAAGGTATGGCAGAGATGCTATGATGTCCCCAAGGAGGAAGTCTCTGGTGCATCCTGATGCTTTGGGAGGAGGGGACTTGTGTATTGGTCTGAGGCTGGAAGTTCTGGAGTGGAGAGAAATGAATGAATGAGCAGAGGCAACGTGGAAAGAACTCTGGTAGACTATGCCGTCTTTAGATGACTCCAGGAATGACGTCATGTTTGCTAACCATTGCATTACCGTTTCCCACCTCTAACTGAATTGCTAGATATGGTAGGAGAGACTTGGACATGGAAGTGGAAAGTCATATGACGACCATCTGTAGCTCCAAACAGTGGTATTTGTCCAGTAGGAATATGAGACTCCTATGCTGGCCTTCCTCTATACTTGGCCTTAGGATATTAGTCCACTTTCGAGCAGTAGTACATTAGCCACATGGCCTGCAGCCGGTTCTGTTTCCTGGGTTGCCGCCTCAGCCTCAGGTGAGACCTGTCTTAGCTAATCCAGGTTATAAGACAGCCCTGCCCCCTGAAGCCATAGCTGTGGAGCACTTCCCTGGCACATGACTGAACTTAGGGCTCCATTTAGCGCCTATCATTCTTAACAAAGTGTGGCTTGTTGGCTAGTACCAGCCATGAAGGCACAAGCCATAGAAATTGAGGGTAAATGCTTATTAAACAACAAAATGGTGCTTCACTGCAGGTGGTTTGAGAAATATTGCTCCATCAGACAAAAGCCTGGAGAGGAGACTCATGAAGTTTAATGATTAAATAATTGGATTCTTTTTGTGTGCCAGGTCCCGCTTGAGGCCTTGGAGAATAAATGTCAGCCTCTCTGTGCTGGGGAACTTTAATTGGGATGGAGTGAATGCAAGAACATGAAGAGAGAAGATGAACTAAGTCATATAAAGAGTATGAAGAAATTAAACCCAGAGAAGTGGTAGTGAGTGCATTCTGATTTGATGGTCAAGAGAGCACATCTGGAAGGCAGCACATCTGGAAGGAAGCACATCTGGAAGGCAGCACATCTGGAAGGAAGCACATCTGGAAGGCAGCAGCTCGACTGAGACCAGCATGACAAGGAGCCAGGTGTGAGATGTGGAAAAAGAACATTCTGGACAGAAACAGCTATGTTGGTTGTTTTTTAACTCTTCTCTTTTGGGGGGCCCGCCACTCAGCTCCCCAATAAATCACACACAGAGACTTATTCTTAATTATAATTGCCCGGCCTTAGCATGGCTTAGTTTCTAGCCAGCTTATCTTAACTTATCCTGTCTACCTTTTGCCTCTGGGCTTTTCCCATTCTCCTCTTACTCTTACTGTGTAGCTAAGTGGCTGGCCCTTGGAGTCATCCTCCTTCCTTCTCTGGCTCCTAGATCTCTCCTCCCAGTTTTCTCCTTCTATACATACTCTGCCTGCCTGCCTGCCTGCCAACCCCGCCTATCCTTTCTCCTGCCTTGCCATTGGCCATTCAGTTCTTTATTAGACCATCAGGTGTTTTAGACAGGCACAGTAACGCAGCTTCACAGAGCTAAACAAATGCAACATAAACAAAAGTAACACACTTTAAAATAGTATTCTACTACACAGCTAGTCTGGAGAATGAGTTTGGTGTGGCTCAAGGACCATGACCTCTAAAGAAAGCCAACTGTCATAAGAGGAGTGTTTGAGGTTGGGGGCTGTTGCTCCTTACAAGAAGCTACTCTCCATTTTCCTAAATGTAAGCCCCTTGAGACACGCTAGTAGCCAGGCCCTTCTCCCAAGGACCTCCAACTGCCAGGTTCCACCCACAGAACCCTCTAACTGCCCTAACAGCTGGACCCAGCCTGCACCCTACATTGTAAAAAGCCCAAGCTCTGGACTTGAAATCCCACCAATCCCCATCCTGAAAAGCTTCACCCTGGAAAGTTCCCCACGCACCGCCCCCTCAAGAAGCTGGTTAAACACGGTCTCCTACTCAGTTCTCCGCTGTTTCTCACCTGAGCAGAGCAACCACCCTCCTGTTCTCCCTTCCAATAAACCTCTTGTGTGAGGTTTGTTGTGCGGGGTGACGTGGTATTCCTTGGCTCCCGGCTGCCAGGATTCCTTCCATCTGAGCTGTAACACTTACACTGAATGGGTCATGTTTTCTTTCCCTACTGTACTTTTTTTCCTGGGCTTTTTTTTTTTTTTTTGGATGTTGTTGTTTGTTTGTTTTTTCTTTTTCTTTTTTTTTTCAGAACTCTTAAGGCATGAAAGTTTGAGTTTTAGTACCCACAGTCTGCTCCCACAGCTGGTTGGCTTATAGTATATTGTATTATATATGTTATAGGCTTTAATTTGGTGTTATCATTGCTGATGTATTTGTCTTTCATCCCAGAACTAGCTTGTCAGGCAAAAAGATTTCTATTTTGTTTCTTATAGCTCTAATAGTTATGACTCTGGTCTTCCACAAGAAGAGTAAAAGAATATCTTAGGCCGGGCGGTGGTGGCGCACGCCTTTAATCCCAGCACT